TCCCAAGCCAGTTCTTAACCATCGCGCCACTCGGCCGGCCCGCAAATCATTTTTAACACCCTCTTCTTACTGACAATAACCAATAAATGAACTTGAATAAAATGGGTACATCTGCAAAAGCACAATTTAGGTCACCACTAAATTATACCACTCACTAACAATGTGCCATTTTCTTGATTTGTTTTTTTGTTTGTTTTTTTTTTACTTTTAAAACCAAAAAATTGACAAAATAGAATAAATTTCGTTTTTAAAGCTATTTCTGAAATTTAGTATTTTATGCATGAACTGAAACTTAGGTTTACCAAACAAAACTATCACACCTTGCAGTTTTCACTTTCAATTACAAAATGTAAATACAAATATAAACTGCAAGTGGTCACACAGAATGACAGAATTAAAATAACCTAAGTTGTTTCTTCATCTTTACAATCACTGTGCTGTCAGTGTGTGCTTTAACCTGTCGTTGAAATAGTGCCATAGAGATCTGAGACATGAACTGCACCTAACTCTAAACTTTTAAGCACTTTCTCTCAAAATGAGTGCGTAGGTAATTAAAATGTGATGATTTGAGGCTTACATATATATTATTATAACTCAACAGTAACTGTAGCAATTAAGAACTCTTAGACCAACAAAATAATTTTGAGGGAAGAGTATTTTCACACCAACATTATTTAGAATTGCATGGTGATAACATAAAGGAGAATGACTTTTATTCAGTTTTCCGATTTCTTTAAAATTCTCTACAGACATGCGCCCCCACCTCCCGCCCTCCTTAATGCCTGCATTTGGAGTGGATGGGCTCCCATGACCCTGCCCCTGGTCCTCCAAGGATAAATGACCTTCCTTGGGAAGGAGTACAACAAAAGGAATTAGGTGAGAGAACTTGGTAATGAAGATGAAGTTCCCTGCTTTCTTCCTTCACAATTGTTGCTTAGAGCTGGCCATGTGACCCATCAAGGGAGGGTGTCAGCTCCATTAAGCAGTATTGCCTGCTTAAGGCTGTTAATCAGCGGAATAGGTGAAAACTGGATAATAACTAGAGAACAGTCAGATGGATCACGTTGCAGGTTTGTTTACAGAAGTTTGAAACACACAACACCCAAAGTAAGACAGCCTGTTTGAAAATACATAAGCTTGAATGGTTTTCAATGGCCTCTTGCTGGCTAACAGCCTAAAGTTAGATTTATGAGGCAGGGTATAATTCCAAAGCATAGCAAAGCCAAATTCATCTTCTAAAAGTGAATGTGTTCATTTAGCTCCATCTCCTAATATACTTTTATTTTATATTCCTTTAAAATCTCAATCTCTCTCTGTCTCTCCCCTCCATCCACGCACATCCACACACACTTGTGTATGTATACATAATTTTTACATGATTATAATTATACTGTGTGTATATATATAGTTGTACACTGAAAAATTTTCATTGTGAAATACATCATATATATATACACACACACATAAACACACACACACATACACACATACACGCATACACACATAAAAAGAATGTCCATCAATAAAGAAAATGTGGCAGTCATAAAAAGGAAGGAAACCTCACCATTTGTAACAACGTGGATGGACCTTGAGGGCATTATGCTAAATGAAATAAATCAGACAGAAAAACAAATACTGTATGACTTCACTTACATGTGGAATCTTAAAAACAAAAAAAATACAAAAAGCCGAACTCATAGATACAGAGAACAGATTGGTGGTTGGCAGAGGTGGGAGCAGCAGGTGGGCAAATGGGTGAACGGAGTCGCAAGGCACCAACTTCCAGTAATAA